GTTATAAGTCCGCAGACATACCGCTGTGCCACTGGGGGGCTCGTGTCAGTATAACGACTGCTACAAAAAATGCATTAGAAATAAAACGGCGATACTAAAATAAAGGAGTGGAAATGTGAGGTTCGATTATGTAGTTTTTTCCATTCCTTTCAAATAACATATTATTTTTCCTTATTGGCTGTGGCTTTAAATAAAAAACAAACTCGGCTCAATTCACTTTAAAAAATAAGCCTACACTTTTCAAACTCTCATAACCTATTTCGGTTTCTCCGTGTTTAATTTCCCCAAGATCTTAAATTTACTATATTCATTTTCAGATAACGCAGAAACTAACAGAATCCTTTGATTACCAGAAAATTTCACATTTACTTCCCTTAACTTACTTTTATATAGCCACCGTTAACGTTAACTATTGACCAACAATTAAAACTACTTATGATTATTATCAAAACTTCTGTGACAGTAACGGTGATAATCTAATACTGTAGTAGCATATAAATCATAATGCCGTTAATATTTGGTATAGATTGTGGTAAAACCAGTAATCTAATAAGAGTGAAAATAAAACACATAATGACAGTCACGGGTCTTGACGAAAAAAGAATGAATAATATATTCTTACCCATCTGGATTTCAACAACATGTGATGTGCGTCTATGAATCCGCATACATTTGTACCCTCTGTTTCCAAACATACTGAAACCAAATATGAGAAGAAGAAAAAAAATTATGGAAAAGGTCATAATTAGAAATTTCCTATAAACAAATGATTTTTAATATTATATTACTCTTATGGTTAGAAAAGGCTTATACTGAGGATATAAAAGCAAGAATTTAAGATATTTATTTTAAGTTTCATTGTATGTTGCCTTTATTAGGACCTTAATGTATACGTAGAATACTCCATGTATTTGTATACATAAAACAGACTAATGTATGACATGTTGGGTGATTTCTAGAGCCATAAAACTGCAAAGATGTAGTAATATCATGGTTAATCTGCAAGACAATAAGTAAGAACAGTAATATCATGGTTAATCTGCAAGACAATAAGTAAGAACAGTAATATCATGGTTAATCTACAAGACAATAAGTAAGGACAGTAATATCATGGTTAATCTGCAAGACAATAAGTAAGAACAGTAATATCATGGTTAATCAGCAAGACAATAAGTAAGGACAGTAATATCATGGTTAATCTGCAAGACAATAAGTAAGGACAGTAATATCATGGTTAATCTGCAAGACAATAAGTAAGAACAGTAATATCATGGTTAATCAGCAAGACAATAAGTAAGGACAGTAATATCATGGTTAATCTGCAAGACAATAAGTAAGAACAGTAATATCATGGTTAATATGCAAGACAATACGTAGGAACAGTAATATCACATACTATCAAAAAGCATGATATTAAGTGCCCAACTATAACAGCTTCATTATGAGAGAGATTTTCCTTTCACAAGCTGTTAAAATATATCAGTCCCCACAGTCTATCAACGGTGGCAATCAAAAGGAAATACATTTGCTCCTGAGGAACACGGTGGTAGTCAAGCGTTACTTACTGACACAGGGGGAAAAGACGACGTCATTTTCCTGGTCAATACAATCACCGAATTTCATTCTAATAGACGATTTGGGATATGAAATTGAACGTCACTTTCGTCACTGGAATCCTCTGCTGCTGTTTTAAAACCAGTTGCCTGACACGTTTCTCGAAAAATGGATACAAATAATCAAGATACATTTAGGTATCTTGTAGAGGCTATATTATGCAGTGGAAGATGATATACCTTAATGTTAGGTGGGAGTTCCAAATAAAGTGACCAGACAGTGTATAGTTTTCAATTGCTAACACCGTTCCATACGAAGTTATGGATCAGAACACCAAACACGTTGGAATTAGAGTGCCGAAAATTAAAAAAAAAAGTGTATAAAATGTGTTTTGTATCTTAAAATATATATTTCCTGTTATTTGATATTTGAGATAAAGAATAAGAGTTCCACCTAAATTTACTGTTAATGGGGTATATCCTTAAGAACCATACAATAAAATTGGTAGTTTTACTGCGCTAATCCCCATAGCCTAAAAGGATATACTATTCTATGGAATGTAAAATCGTTGAAGGAAAGCAAATAATTTATAAAAGTAGTGTTTCTAAATCATTATGATTCCTTTCTAGAGTCAAAACGTTACTTTGTTATGAGCTAAAATCACACTAGATTATAAATATTTTTATATGCTTTTATAAAAACTTCTGTTTATAGTTAATATTCACATCCTTTCCTGGATTGATCACTTTACATTTTGTTTAACCCTAGAATTTGCGATGAGGTCCACATTCATCGGCTTTTTTTAAACACACTTTTTAAAACTATTTATGAACAAAATAAAGTGTGGGTCTATAATTTTGATGATTACGGGGAATTCTTAATAAATTGGCACACAAAAATTCTACAAACGAAAAATACCATGAATATTACAGTTAATTCCAGTTGCAATAAATAGTGGAGTTCCCCATATGTTTTACAGATAAAACCAGTGATGACACTGAAGTTTCGTAACAGGTAAATAAAATAACATAAATAAAACTACACAATATTATCACGCAATATGCGGAACTCGCCGGCAGAGTTTTATGTATTAGCCCTGAAGAAGGCGAAACGTCGGTTAAAATAAAAGTTCTCTCTGGAGTGTAAAGATCGTTTTTTTTTTCTCTCTTTCCATCTTTATTATAAAAGGTAGAAAAACGAGTCGATAATTTGAAGAAAATGTCTAAATAACTTCATGTTGAGTTAAAAGTGAGAATGTAGTGGTGTTAAATCATTTCTACTGCAAGCAATTATTCTAGAAGTAAAAAAAGACGAAGTTGAAATCGTAAAACACCTAAAGCAAGGTTATGCGGTTACCATTATTATGCCAGAAAGTATAATATTGCAGACGGTGTATGCTGAAACTTTCAATAAAAAGTCAGTTTTGTAAAACACTAACTAGTAAACATAATAAACGTAACGATTGGATATTAATTTTGAAATCAGCACTGAATAGTAAACATAATACACGTAGGTGTACTTAAGTAAACTTGTGGCGATTGGATATTAATCGTCGACACGATGAACAGCCTATACGATCACTTAAGTCTAATTATCAATTATTTACTATCTTTTTTATTACTAGAAACTGAAAAATAAAAAAGAAAGAAATGTGAATGGATTAATTAAACAGGGAAGAAAGCAGGGAGGAAATGGAGGGACTTGGAAGAAGATGAAATAAAGAAAGTTTGTTTGAAGTTAAGCACAGAGCTACACAAAGTGTTATCTGTTCTCTGCCAACCACGAGTATTATCGAAACGCGGTTTCTAGCGGTATAAGTTCGCAGACATACCGCGAGGGGGGGGGGGGGCATTATCTTAGGAAAATAAATTCAGTCTTACTCAAAAGTAAGTTTTGTTTATCTATTTATTTGAAGTTAAGCACAAAGCTACACAATGGGCTATCTGTGCTCTACCCACTACGTGTATCGAAACCCGGATTCTAGAGTTGTAAGTCCGCAGACATACCGCTGTGCCACTGGGGGGCCGAAAGTAAGTTTTTTTATTACCTTTGTAGCACCAATTAAGTATTTTCTCCATTACTGGATACTAATTACTACTAATCTGTTTAAATTAATAAAACTTTGATTAGTAATTAGTAATTATACATAAGGGACCGTATAGGTTGCTAAGCATGACAATTACAACAAAAATAATCTGTGGTTGAGGAAGAATTGATCAAAACAATCATTAATTGAAAGTTTGAGTTTTACAACAAAATTTAATTACCTGCAGAAATCACAAAAATATGATTGTTTGTTTTTTTACTGATTTCAATATTGGATGAGACAAAAAGATGTAACTTGTAGCATCGTCAACTGACCAACTTTTTTAAGTCGCCAATATACCATAGGTTTAACTTTACTATTTCCGATTCCAGTAGAGATAACTAATAGACAGATCGAAAGGCAATAAAAATTGTTTACGACAGCAAATGTTTCTTGATTTATCTATCACTCACTGAACTAAAGAAGATCATTAATTCTCTCATCTCATTTGAAACTATTTCATATCGCTTCTTTAAAAATAAAGTTTGAGAACTAGTTTTATTGTGTAGCTAAATCAGAAACTGTAAGAAATTTTCACTCTTACCTGCTTATCTATACCCTCTTTTGAATACTAATTCATTGTGTTTCGCATTGGTTAACTTTAGTTTAAAATGTTTCCAATATCGACAATAGAAATTTTATTTCGATTATTTATCATGCAGAAATACTTAAGCGATAGATATTTATAGGTTATATCAAACAATAGTTTTTAATCTACGGGATTATCGAAACTTCTGAATGCAGAAATACTTTTGGATAAGAGTACTTCACTTCGTCTCTTTTTTTTCTAATTTAGATCTAAATTATACAGACTTTGACTTTAATGCTGTTTGTTTATAGTTAAGCACAAAGCTACATAATGGGCTATCTGTGCTCTACCCCAAGGGGATAGAAACCCGGGTTATAGAGTTGTAAATCTGCAGACATGCCGCTGTGCCACTAGGGGGCTTTTGTTTTCTTTGAAGTTAAGCACAAAGCTACACAATGGGCTATCTGTGCTCTACCCCAAGTTCAAGATCAACGTATCTCTAAAGGAGAAGAAACAATAAAATAATTTTTGTATTGTAAAATTATGTAAGACATTTTATTTCTTATTGTTTGTACGATCTTAGGTCTGAGTATTCCGTCCGGTTGTGCAAGTTAACAAATTGCATCAACTTGTAATTGTTTCGAGCTGCTCGCGTAAGTCTTTTTCATATCAATCGTAAACGAATTCTTACCGAGCTCATAAAATACAGAGACATTCCAACTATATTTCCAAGACATTTTTTGGATATTTTGCAAATATTTTCTACAGTTAATCTGCTCGTTTTTCTTACATACTGTGGCTTACATTTATAATTATATTATGTTCTTGTGTATTGCACATAGTGGCTCCAATTAAATCAAATGTTCCTTTTTTTCTTGTTATTTTATGATGGGTACACCCTTTTTATATCCATTAGACCTTTAGTACTTTAAATAAACTGTTACTGAATGTAACGGTTACAACTCCTGCGTTCGGGGCCCCTTGCCTCAAAAAACGTCTGCACGATGGTTGAAGTGACATTTAAATCCCACTATTCAGTCAGAAAAAGAGAAACCCAAGAGCTGACGGTGAGTGCTGTCGTTAGTTGCCTTCTCTCTAGCCAATTAGTTCAAATTTAGGGTTAGCTAAGCAGATATATCTCTTTTTTGTTGCATTGTGCGAAAATTGTTAAACAAGCGAACAAGCCGATGGTTGTTGCGTATGATGTTTGTTTGTTTGTAGTTAAGCACAACGCTACGCAATGGGCGATCTGTGCTCTGCCAAACACGGGTATCGAAACCCAGTTTCTACCGTTGTAATTCCGCAGACATCCGCTGTGCCATTGAGGGGCATTTATGATGATTACAATGTGTACTAAGCTGTAAAATGTGGTATAACACCATTCGTATAACAGGTTCGTAGTTCCGTCATATATTACAGTAAATTCGAAATACACTAGTTTTAATAACCTTGACATACAATTGCTTCCGCTTATGGTAAACAACTCCTATAATGTAAAACAATCGTTACCTTAATTTTAAAAGTGAAAGAAATGACAAACGCAAGTGTCAAAGTTCTGATGTTGAAGTATTAAAACATTAGTAAAAAACACACGCACAAAGTATCAAACCATTTTGGAGGCCCGGAATGGCCAGGTGGTTAGGGAGCTCGCCTCGCAATCTGCGGGTTCGAATCCCCATCACACCAAAGATGCTCGCCCTTTCAGCCGTGGGGGCGTTATAATGTTACGGTCAGTCCCACTATTCGTTGGTAAAAGAGTAG